AGCCATTGACTGTAGAGGGCAGATGGCTGAGCCCCAATGCCTCCGTCCCTCTAAGATGGCATAAAGCCACTTAGGTCCGTCATTTGTAGTCCCATGCCTTTTTTAAGCTGTACAAGGGGGAGATAGTCAACTTTAGTTTGGCCTTCCAGGAACAAGCATTTTAAGATGCTGCCATTATGGAGAACATTATCCAAAGTGCAACAGGATGTGAAGTATGTCTGCCTGATGCATCCAGGAATTTTGAGTAGGGCTCCATTTCATCCTCTTCATGGTGAAATGGCAGAATTTTGCCTGTTTGGGTTGTAGGCTCCATTGTCATTAAAAACATCAGTGTTCACCAGCAGTGAGTGAAAAGCTCTACCAGGTATTTTGTTACAGATTCAACAAAGCTGACAAAAAGCTTCGTGATCATTGGAGGTTATCAGTTAATGGTAACAATATGTTTACACGCAGTACGTTTTTGAGATTACCAAGTCTGATCAAGTTGCAAAAAAAATACAAAAAACTTTGCAAACTTTCCCTGAAATCGGTTGCACAATCATTTCCTCCCCACTACAGTTTCTTCTGCTCTGAGAATTGCATACAATATAATTAACTTTCATAATCTAATTTCTGAGTAGTTATTTGCACCTGTCATTACAAACTGTGAAATATTTGTTCCCAGTAGAAGATTTTTACTTGCTGCTAAAATATGTTTTTATGTCAGATAACATCAAATGAAACGCGTATAAATACTACATTGAAACAGTATTCTGTGACACCGTTTTTTTTCGTACAGTGCTTGCGATTAGTCAGTTGATTTAGTATGAAGAAAGTGGAAAGGCCTCTTGTCAGTCATCAGTAGAAATTATGAACGGTTTAATCACTTGACATTTTTTTTTTGTGACTGTCAGTTGTTACTTTTACCCATCGACGTGAATATTTCTACCTTTGTTGGTGCTGTCTAGCCATGAAATTGTATGACTTCTTATTTGTTTGAAGCGGTTTGTTCATGTAGTTTCGTATATGACTTGTTGTATTTCATATGCTTTTATTGTGAAATTTGATTGTCCAGCATGTTTTGCCATAATTTGTAGTGTCTAACTTTATCTTTCATATATTTGCCATAACTGTAATGTACTGTATTGCACAATGCCATATACTGCACACTTATTTTTATTGTAACATTTTGTCTTTTGTTGTACAGACCTGTAGTACATCTTGGCACTTTGCTTTTATACTTTTCATTTTCAGTAATCAATCCCTTTGTACAACTGGCGAGCATTTTGTTTTGCCTTTTACCTTAGACTTAACAGCAGTAACTTACTGTTGATTCCTTGCATCTTCTTGTCAACACAATATGGGTAATACAAAGGAAAACACTATTGGGATGTTGTGCTTCTTTTCCTTTATGTGTACAAAATAAACCCCTGAAATTTACTCTGTACATTAACATTAAATAATTACACTAAATATCTTGTATTTGTTATATGTTATTCCTTTGTACTGTAAATGGTGTAGTCAGGTAGTCAGTTATTCTCAGATACAGAGGTGTTTTTTCTTTCTTTTTTTGTGGTTATTTTGAATAGATTCACTGGAAGCTTAAGGATGTTAAAGTCTGCTTTGATGCAGGTGAAGCTGATAATTATATGTGTTTCATCAAAACTTTATTTTTAATGTTTCAACAGAAATACTGCAAGGACATTTTTTGCATTTGTGCCAGTGGAATTGAGTCTCAATGGACCACTGGTGCCAACAAACACACTCTGAAGCTTACTCTCCACTAGTGTAATGTTAACTGATTCTGTAAGAAGGTAATCAGTGCCAATTATCTATTCATCCCCTTTATTCTACTTATGGTGTTCAAGCCATTCTGTCAAGCTTTATAATTTCCTATTTCAGTTATTTCAAAGTAAATAGTTTGGCAGCATCTATCGGTAGTTTTGGTGATAAACCAAGCACAGAGACCCAAATCTCAGGAACTGCTTAATTAAGACATGTGCTTAATTAGCAACTGTGGAAGACGCCATGGAGAAACAGTCTTCAACTGCTGTGTGTTTTAGTTATTTTGTTTGGTTTAATCTTAGTTTTGTTTGGCAAATTCATTTATTCCCTACTGCTTTTTATATATTTAAAAGCTTTCTTTATTTTGGGGAACGTTTGTTTGGCTTTTCTACTTTGTTTATGACACAGTCAGCCAAAGCAGCTCAGACAAATACAACAACAGTCAGCACCCATGCAAACCCGTGCGTCACCCGGACCACCGTGACTCATCAAACTGTGAGCAACGAAACAAACCACAGGGCGTTGATCATGTCATGGCATCTGTGGGCAGCTATTTTGGATAAGTTAATATCTAGCTAGAAGCCGCAATTAGTATCTATGTCTGTAGTATTCTTTCTTTACTTACAGTATTGTCATGTCATATCATGACTATAAACTGTCCTCCTGTGGTCACCTTGTATAACCACATATTTCAAAGTATTATTCTGAAATGACTTAGCAGACGTTTTCATACACCATCGCGTCTGTGCCAGAGATGTTTGTCTGGTGTTACTTTGACCAATTCGATGCTGCAGTTACTCATTGTGACCCCTAGAGGCCAGTAAACACTGGTGATTTTAGAAGGTGCTCGGGTCAGCATCTCACAGACTCCAGAGAGACTGCTACGACACTGTTAAAGAAACAAACTTTTATTGACAATAAGCAATTGATAATGACAACTGATTCCATTATAAAATTACTCAGGTTAAACTGGTAAGTAAAAATGCCCTGTTGCTAAAGTTCCTGTGTATTTACTGCCCTCCAGTGGTCACAGGTAGCAACTTCACCATAACGTTAGTCATACTTGCACCATTGCAGACATAAGTAGGAACAATACAGATATTTGTATTATTGCTATTTTACAGAGTGGTGTTGTCGTCTCTAATTGTAGCCACTAGAGAACAATTATAATGAAGGTTGTCGTCAGTGTAGGGAGACCACTGTGACCACCAGAGGGCAGTGAACATCTGCCAAGGAGGTCATGTTTTCAGCTGATTCTGTTTATTTGTCCGCAGGGTTACTGAAAAAGTACTGAACCAACAATTGAAGTCAGATCTCAACACTATAAATATGTCTGATTTTTTCTATTTACATAAAGATCCTTGCATTATTTCCTGTGTGAGTTTTCTTTTTATGCCTCCACGCTGGCAACAGCTAGGGCTGGAGGCATTATCGTTTCGGGTCTGTCCCATTCTTATGAATGTGATATCTCAGTAACGCCTTGAGGGAATTTCTTCAAATTTGGCACAAACCTTCATTTGGACTCAAGGACAAACTGATTAGATTTTGATGGTCAAAGGTCAAAGTCATGGTGACCTCACAAAACACAGTTTTGGCCTTGTGAACACAATATCTCGGGAACAGATGGAATCCCTTCACATTTGGAACAAATGTCCACTGGGACTGAAGATGAACTGATTAGACTGCAATAATCTCTGAGCATCTTAAATGCAAGGCACCCAGGGCGTATGAGCAGTGCGCGAAACACTTACTCCCTACAGAAAACAACTGGAAAAAGACACCTCTCTGAAAAATGCATTTGGTCTGACTGATGCTTTAATTGACATGCGCGATGTATGGTACATTTTTATCCAAACAACTTCATATCTATTATTCCCCATGTTATCTCCCCTAAAGGAAATGTAATTTATTTGATCTCCTCCCTCTGGCAGCTCAATTTTGTTTATATATATGGGCTGTTTATGTGTTTGTTTGTTTTCCTGTTTGGGCGGCGGACACATGCATAATACTCTTGTTTTTCTTCTGCCTCCCAATTCCAGTGAAATACTAACTCAGCAGCTTGCCATTTAATTGCTGATTACATTCAGTGTGTTTATGTGCACTGAATATTTAACCATCCACAGAGGAGCAGCATGTCTCCTGCAGAAACAACCACTACTCGGCACAAAAACGGCAATATAGACCCACTGATCCTACTGGTCAAGGCAAAGTATAATATCCACAGTAACTGGCATGTGTCAACCAGGTCCATGAGACACACGTCTCATGGCTCCCACACAACAGAATTAATGATTGCAATGACACAAATATGGGCCTATAGCTTGCCGGCCACCTGGAGGCTGGGGTGCAGCACCTTAAGGTGGGTGTTGCAGCACCCTTAGCCTAGGCTACTTCCAAACTTTGTTAACTTTGTATTTCAATACATTGAATTCAGTCACTAAAACCCAGTAAGGTTAACATGAGCTAAGTCAAATGTAACAGGATAGACGTCAGCATCTAGCAGAGACTGGTCGGTCACCCACATGGTTAACATTATTTTACTACATATTGTCATAAGTAGACACATCTTCATGAAGCTCAAATTTAAGTTTAGCTTGGTGGCAAGAGCACATATCTACAAGTTTCTTGCTCTACATCAGTGCTCCACAACCCTGCATAACCACTATTTGATACAAGTTCAATTTCATAGACATACAGCACTTAGCCTGTATAGCTAGACATAGCGGCATAGATCACACAACCTAGTAACCATGACTAGTAACATTACAATATTGATGATGCATCATATAAATAAATTATCAAGTAACCAAAACACCCATATTTCAGTGCAACAAAATATAGAAAATATTGATCAAACATTAAAGTTTGACTAACTTATAACTACTTAACATGCAGCTCTATAGGAAGTAATTTGAGATATTAAGTCATTATTTTGAGAAACTTTATTATTATTTGTGTCTGGCCTGCAAATGTTTTTAGAACAACACATTTTTGAGTGAGTAACACTGTGTAGCTTTAGCAAAACTGATGACAGTCAGAGCAGCTGTGCACGCTGGGAGATCAGACAGTGCGGTGAGCTCACTGACGCTACGGGAGGTGGAGTGCGTGAGTGTGTCCGACTTGACGCTAGTGTTTTTTATCGTCCAACCCTGCAGTCACCGGCTGCTCCCGTCAAAGCCGAAGTCGAAAACGCACGCAAGCTTATGTCTTTGCTCGTTAGTGATGGCCGCGTGACTTCGGAGCGTTTCTAGCATCAGCGTGCACACGTATAGAACTCGGTCTCCCAGCATCCCTTGCGAGCGTATTTATAGTAGGAACCGTCTGCTGTCTCTGCTGACTGCTAGCCGGCTGCAGTTGAATTAAAGTTGTTCAAAATGTTGGGGAGACATTGAACCCGATGTTTCCTGTCCAGCAGCTGGCTGACTCTGCTCCGCGGCTGAATGTAGGTCACATGCTGGCAAACAACACCTCTCTGGGTTTGCTGACAGGCGAGTCTCACTTCCTTTTTTTGACGGGACAGGTCTCCTCTTCCCAGCTCAAGCAAAGCCAGAGAGAGAGAGAGAGGGAGAGAGATCATGCGATCTCATTATCATGTGCTGAAGATCACTTTGTTGTGAGCTGTGTTTGACAGAGGCAGCGATGAGGGCTGGAGGCAGGACGGGGGCTTTGGACAGGGCTGCAGCTGTCTGCATCCTAGCGTTGTGTTGTGGCTGTTTACACGTGATCGCCCTCAAATCACAACTTTTCACCAGGCTCGGTGGGTCATCTTACTCCACTGAGACTCCCATCAGCTATGAAACATTTTACTTTGACCAGAAGGTGAGTTTAAAAATTCTCAAATTTTTCACTCACAATTAAGCCTACTTGTAAAAACTTAATATAATACGGGTACTTTTTCCCACTGGCTCCTTCCTCTTTTACTTCTTTCTCTTTCACTTCACTTTTTAATGTTTGACTTGCAAACTAAATAACTGCTGAGTTTATGGGTATAAATGAGTAAAAATCCAAATAAATTAAAGTGATCCTAATATTTTGCCTGAAACATCTTTTGATGTAAAATAATAAAACAACCGATAAAACTGCTGTCATAAAGACAAAAGGATATTTAAAAGAAAACCATGAAGGAGTGTTATGTGAAAATAAGATTGATATTATATGATGTGTACTGGCTCATTATAGTTTGCTCACATTATTATTTACCTCTATATTACCATTACCTGGCTTCATTGTTTGCCATTTACTTATATCTGCACCACTTGCTCTTTCTAATGTGTTCAATGTACTTAATGCCGTGGAAGTTGCTCATGTGTTGTGTCTACAGACAATAGGTGCTTCCCTCTGGCTTCCTGTAGTGAAGGGAAAACCATCACAATTGGCTCTGTTCTTGCCAGCAGAACTGTAACTATCCCTCCTGGCTCCGTGCCTAAAAAGGTCTCCAGGGCCCAGTGAATCTGAAAGACTTTGCCTCAGGGGGGGGTTTGAGAGGTCTTCTGTCAGCCTTTACATTTTCCATTTACTGTTGCTTCATGGGGAATCAGATTGCATTGTGTGTGTTGTCGTACACAGCACAGCAATCACGTTTAGTGACTTGTGAACCTGACTCACACAATCACAAGGCCGTGCTTTTGTCTTAATGACTCTGCTCTTCCTGCAGTCAGGGATGTTGTGAAAGGTAAACGAACCAGCTTCCCCGCATTTAAAGGACAGTATTCATCATTTTGGTGTAAATCTGAATAATTGTTATGATTAGTCATTAAATAAATATTTTAGACAATGAGTGGAGGTCCCTCTTCACCCTCATCATGTACTGATTAATTAGCTGTTTCACCTACCATGACAGTAAATGGTGTGTAAATTATAGAAACCTAGCACAGTAGTGCATTTAGGTGCTCCATGAACCGCTATATCTGTTCTCAAGATGATAATGCTAGAGCTTAAAATGTCAGGATCACTGAAAACTTAACTCTTACTGATTTTTTTTCTTTTATTGTTCTGTGGTTTTCCCTCAGATGTTCTTCACTGACTCTGATGTAAGTCAGTGTCTTAGAAGATTTTTAACAGAGACTGAACATAGTCACACCTCACACTCTGTAAATCTGGGCATCAGGTATCTATCTGTCTGCATTTAGCCTTAAACTTTAAACTGTGTTGAACATCTAAGCCTGTTCCCCTGCCAATTTAGACATTGGATATTCTAAGATCCATGCTTGTAGACGTCAGGAAAAGACAATCCAACACACAAGGAAGTGGATGGAAACAATCCCAGATGCTTTTTGTATGAATTAGTGAGAGGATTAATGAACTAAACATTTTAGAATAATGCACAGATTATTATTAAGTACATAGTGGAAAAGTGCTGATATTAACATTAACATAGCAGTATTTAGAGCTGTGATGATTTGTTGGTTATTGCTTTGATAATAGATTCATCATTTAAGTCATTTTTCAAGTAAAAATGCCAAAGAATTGATGCTTCCAGATTCTCAAATATGAGGATTTGCTTCTCCTTGTCTTACATTTTAATAAATCTGGTGTCTTTGTTTTTAACTGTTGGCCAGACAAAACAAGGCGATTGTGTCACATGGAGCTTTAAAAAATTGTGATTATTTTTTTTTTTACCATTTTTTGATGTTTTATAGATCAGACATTTAATCGATTATTCAATAAAGTAGTCATCAGATAAATCAACAAAGAAAATAACCATTAGTTGCAGCTCTAACTGTTATCTTTACATACTGTTAATAGTGTTTGTGCACTAAACGGTGTTTGGATTTGGGGACAATGCTCCACACCTGGTCCAACCCACGGCATCCTGCCTAATCAGCCAAGCTGACAAGAAGATAAAGACCATTTCCTCCCTTCTGACGCCCATTGTCTTGTCTGATGTGCTTTTTTTTTTCACCCAATCAACAAGAAACTGTCTGCTTCTTTTCCAAATGTGCAAAAAAAAAAAAAAATCAAGAAACAAGAAAAAAATCCCTGTAATCCACTTTTCAGTACCGGTAGCAAGTCTGCTGTTGTCATGAAATAATCATCAATCATGCAACTTTTTTCTCCACTCTGTGTGAGACGAGCTGCTGTGAAGAGAGCACCAAGTAATCCAGCAGTTGTCCAGAGGAAATCCTCTGGACCGCATTCTGCCTCCAGACAATGAATGGAAGTGTCCTCTCGCATCCTCTAAATTAACTGCTGTCGTTTACTGGAGCTTGTACTGCGTTTTTTTTTCCCGCATGTGTCCAATTTCTGGACAACAGATGCAGCTCTCTCTCTCTCTTGTGGAATAGTTCACGTACTGGTCCAGTAGATGTACAGTATGTGCAGTGAATTTTAATTGGAACAAACAGTGCTCTAAGTTGTGCAAGCAGTAACCACATGGGGGCACTGTTTTATCAGGGTGTGGATCTGTTACAAAACCGGTCTCGTGGGTTTTGTGATGTGCATACTGAGTGGGTGCAAGTGATAGAGTACTCACCAGGGGTCCTTTTGCTGAAGCACTTGATACATTCAACCACTTTAGTTTTGGCATATATATCACAGTTGTTTATTAGAATATTTTTCTTTTCATTTTAACAGAGCTTGGATTTCAGTTACTGAAGAGCTTCATTCCCGCAATCAGGCATCTACCATTTGAAAACCTTGTTGTGAAATGAAAAATAACTAAACAAATTATGTCGCTTTTTAAACGATTCAAAGTAACTTAAATGGCTTGTTCACAAAATTCCCACTTTACACTTCAGCCGATATAACTGACACTTATTTTGCTGCTAAACTGCCGAACTTTTCCTTTAAACTGTCTCATGGTCCCCTCGCACTTAAAAGCACTGCCAAGCGCTAAGGAGTCGAGGCTTGGATGAACACATTGAGGCCCCGGCATCTTTTTGCTGTCATTGGCTCATAAAATTGCTGCCTCCTTTGTATCCACTGAGGAGGGAAGAGAGCGAGGAGGGGGGAAAAACAAAACAAAAACATTTTGTATTAAGTGCCGGGGCTGTTTCAGGGGTTGGACAACTCAGTCGCCTCATGGGGTTGTCTTCTCTGTGAAGTTGTTGGTTTCTTTCTGCCTTTGTTTAATAAAGAATACAGGAAATATAGTTGAAAAGGGAAGATACCCCAGAATCCCTGAGGTTTGATGAAAGGATATCTCAGAGCTCATCTAAAGTGGAACTAATGTGGCATCCCTTAAACTGGCTCCAACATGTTTTAATACAAATTGGGGCTAATTACCCCCGAATCCAACCTCGGGACTGTCATTTCAAAACGCCATAGTTGGCACAGGGCCAGGTATCCACTGATCACACCCACCTCTCGGAGAAGTCTGTGTGGACTGGACTGCATCCTCTAAAATGCTTTGTTAATTTGAACATCAGTAAAATGATTGCCGCAATAGCTTTTCTGTCAACCAAAGTGTGACCAGTGCACAAGAGATGCCATCTTTTTGGATCATATTTTACATTTTCTGCTTTATGTGGCAAAGGGAGATACATCCCTAATTTACACTTTGAAAGCTAGTCTCAGTAGGGAGGCTTGTTCTTCAGTATGACTGTATAATATACACTTAACTTCAGCCTCAAAAGGCTTTGAATCAACACCATCTCTCACAGACTCAACATACATATGAAAAATTGTATATTTGTATATGTTTTTCAAATTAATTTCTCATTCATTTTAAACATGTCTATCTTCGCATTTTGGGAAAGTGGTCTCAGACATATACTGACGGGCTATATTTATGTAATTGCTCTAATTCTGAATAAGTTTCATTGATGTTTGTGATCAGTTTGTGTACATGAACACATTTAAGATTATATAGTTAGTTTATTTAGTATTATATTTGTATTTGTTTCAGATTGATCATTTTGGATTCCTGGAGGAAGGCACCTTCAAGCAGAGATACCTTGTGGCTGACAAACTCTGGAAGCAGCCTGCAGGACCGATTTTGTTCTACACCGGCAATGAAGGCGACATCACCTGGTTCTGCAACAACACTGTAAATATCTTCTCTGTTCACTCGTATTTACACTGCACACAGTGCTCAATCTAACTGAACACCTACCTTTGTTTTTTCTTCAGGGCTTCATGTGGGAAATTGCGGAGGAGTTGGGCGCCATGCTGGTTTTTGCAGAGCATCGTTACTATGGAGAATCCCTGCCATTTGGACAGGACTCTTATAGTGTAAGTGAAGATGCAGTGTCACACAAGGAGATCACATCTAAGTCTAATTAAAATCTGATTAAGTATGTTTGATTACATGTATTTTCTCCTATTTTGGTTTCAAGCCAGTAACTAAGTTACATTACTAACAAAAGCAAATCTTATACCTTAAGACTGTAATGGCATTTTACCTGAAAGCAAAAATGATTCAGTAGATACAGACATTTCCATTCTATTTGTAGCTAAAGGTGTTAAAATAATTACCCACCAAAATAAATTTCACTTACAGGCCACCTAATTGTGGAACGATACTTGTCATGTGCTTTTGCAGGACAGCAAACACCTGAACTACCTGACCTCAGAGCAGGCCTTGGCAGATTTTGCAGTCCTGATTCAAAACCTGAAGAGCGCTTCACCCGGAGCTCAGCACAGCCCTGTCATCGCTGTTGGAGGTTCCTATGGAGGGATGCTCTCTGCCTGGTTCAGGATGAAATACCCCAATATAGTTGTTGGGTAATGTATCAGTGTAGTTGTGAGGACCTGCAGGTTAAATTTACCCAAATGTGCACTAGTCATCTTTGTTTGTTTGCTTGCAGCTGTAATCAGTAGAAAAATGTAATAAAAAAAAAAAGAAAAACATCTTCCACACCAAGAAGTCACGTAGTGGTGCATGCACACAGCAGCTTCATGTTTACCTAACTGGTCATTTCACACCAAAGGACTTAAGGGAGTCTGTAATAAATACCAGATGTTCATTTGAGCCGTCATGGTGAATCTGTGCAGTCTGTTTTACAAAAGGCACTGCAGTAGTATTTGGTATCAGAGTTTGCATCTGCGTTCTATTGACTTTCTCACTGCCTTTGTAATCAGTATGCTCCTATTGCAAACACCTTACACAAATGTTATTCACAGATCGCCATGGATAAGGGATTGAGAGAAAATCTAAAATGGTTTTGCTTCTTCCTGTATTTCAGAGCTCTGGCGTCCTCCGCACCAATATGGCAGTTCCCTGGCATGGTGCCATGTGGAGACTTCTACAAAATAGTAACACAGGACTTTGCCAGAAGTGGCTATAACTGTGACGCAAACATTAGAAAGTCGTGGAAGGCTATTAATAATGTCTCTTCCACTGGTAAGTCGAACACTCACAAGTTGATTTATGTGATCTGTCACATTATAGGAAGTAGGACTTATTTGAATAATTCAGAGTAATAAATCAATCATGTTAAATCTTATCTATGAGGAAGGCTCCTGGATTGTAAGAATTTCTGTCCATATGGTCCACATTTGTTAAGTGGTGCAGTCGTCTATTAAAGCCTGAAACCAGACAGCTGTTACTTAAACCTGTAGTGCCACTGGGTATAAACTCTAGAGTCTCTCCACAGAGGACAGATTGTGAGAGAGAATATGTGGATCCATTAAATTTATAACCTGCATAACTCAGAGTGTCTGAGTTCTTCAGTCTTCCACTCAGATCTGAATAAGAAAATGTGCCTTAATATGATCCCCTGGTACTTTTTCCATGATCACAGTCCTAAACTATAGGAGTAAGCTTCATTGAATTGAGTTGCACTTTTTATTCTTGTCATGCCACTGGAAATAAATTTACACAATAAAAAAAAAAAGTCAATACCACTTTCTAATAAGGCATTTACAAAGCGTTTATAAGGTGTAACTGATAGTTTGATTAATTGTGAATCAATCATTTACTAATGCTTGATAGGACAGATATAAGCTATTCATAAGAACAGTTTCAGGTTGCTAAGTGATAGGAAATCCTCCTCCAGCATTGGCATACATTATAAGTTAATGTATAAGGGGACTTTCTGATGAGTTTAATAGTAAAAAGACAGAGACAGTGTCATGCTGGAGGATGATTGTCCCAACCTGGCAACCCAAAAGGTCTAATTAATGGCTTATAGCCGACAAAGCCATTAGGTACAGCTTATAAATCATTTTAAAGTGTCTTATTAGAAAGTGGTGCCAGTGGTGCAAATCTACCCACATCCAATATTTTCAAAATGCAGTTTGATAATATCCTGAACAGAACTGTTAAAAACCAAGAGAGGAAATACTCCTCCTGCTGTAAGGTTCTGATTATTAGTGTGCAAAAAATGTCACTCCAGCCACAGACAAAGTATTTATAGGAGCGAGGGCACAAAGAAGCTACACTGAGAGTTCCCAACAATATTGATCAATATCTCATAGCAACTAAGCAAGCAGTGAGACAGCATGGTATTTGGCATAATCTGTCAGACAGAATACAGCTAAACAGGGCAAACATGCTGATGTATTGTTTTTTCTATCACATTAACCCAGAAACCTCAAATAAATTGATGATGGTTGACACTTTGTGTCATTGAAGCATCTGTCCCAAAAAACTTGAGATTCTGTGAACTGGCCTTAAAAAAAGATGTGCAAAGGAAGTGATAGTTGAAAAAGGAGGAACCAATCACTGACTTGGAATAAAAGTAGAAATGTGCTGTTTGATTTAAATTTGATGGTTAATATACAAAGTATTTTATCAAGTATTTTGACAGGAAGAAGTATTTCTTCATGTTCTTGTCGGTTCTGTTTTTTGTTTTTTTTTATCACCATTCTTTTCTGAAAAGTTGAAACATGATACTGAGTTTTTCTGTGCATATTCTAAACTAAATGAGTATTTGCTTCTGTACTGGAAAATTACATTTCAGCACCCTGTCACTTTTTTTTATCTTTAACCAAGGTAAAATAGTGATCATTTTACTAGCATTTTGCAGCTAAAGCTACCATGAAGCTTTATATGCTGTAGTCACAGTACAACATTGTTTTATCTTTGTTTGAAATGACAATTTCACTGTCAAACTTGAGTAACCAGTAGTGTTGTAGATTCAGTAGTGAACATACATGATAACATGGATAATGCAGCCTTCAAGGAATGACTCATTTTTTGTTCTCTTGTGACAAGCGGCTGGTCTTCAGTGGCTGTCAGAAGAATTCAGCTTATGCAGGCCTCTTAAAAACACGAATGATGTTATCGCCTTCAAGAACTGGCTTCAGGAGACTTGGGTGAATCTGGCTATGGTGGACTACCCCTACGAAGCTAACTTCCTCCAGCCGCTGCCTCGCTGGCCAATCCAGGTACAAACAGCCGCTAGTTCAATTCTGTATCTTAAGAATCAAACAGTATTTCTAAAATGAGTCGTGGCAGTCGGGCCAAAACAATTACTAAATAAAAGAATAAAAGTTTTTAGTTTCACTTCAAATTGATTTACTGTCTAAAGTTTTTACTTTATTTCAGCTTTGGATTTTGTTTGTCTTTGGTTAAGCACCTGATTCGGCCTGACAGCCTGTCCTTAATTGAAATGAATGCATGTTTCAGCCGATTGTGTTACAAGTGTTTGTTGTGGTCTTCAAGCTTTTGTTTACAACAGCTGTCAATTAACTTCATTAATATTCATAAGGATCTAGTTTCTTTTGGATTTTAAGTATTCTTTAGATGAGCAGCTACAAGTAAGCCACCATTCTTTTCTTCTCCCGTACCAATAGTCTTTTCATTTGCACACTCCGTCAGATCTCTGAGGTGTTCCTCTTAGGACGCTCACACGGCACCACAGAAAGAGGACATTTGCCCAGTGCAGCTCATGAGGCCATTAAACAAAGGTTCACCACTTTCATTTGAATGGGACTGTAACAAATACTTCACTAGACACTTGATGTGAAAAAGTGAACACAAGTAACTTGCCAAAATATAGATAAATAAATAAATAAATAGATCCAGTCGTGTAATGTGGCTAACGCAAAAAAACAACAACAAAAAAACAACAACTTTTAAACATATTTAAAAACTCTTTCCTGTTGTCAGCGTTACAAAATAGCCTCTGTTTTCATGTAAAACAGCTTGTGACAGTACAGCGGCTGTTTTCCGGAGGCTGATTGACTTGGGTGAAGTGTATTCTACCAGTCACCTTGGCATGTCACGTGCATAAACCAAGCTCTGCTATTGACCCCACGACTCTCTGTTTGGTGCTTCAACACCCCTCCGAGTGCCCCACACAGCACTCTCAAACCGAAACTTTTACTAGTCTGATACATTTTTTTGTTATTTGTTTATCATTTAGCCACTGAATAGATCCGAGAGCATCGCGTTAGATGAACAAACACTAAATGGTCATTTTGAGTTTTTTTGGCTCTTTGCCTTTAATGTATGCGACCCCTATGGGTGGTTTAAGCGGTTTAGGCAGTGGGTGCAAAGAGGAGCTTTTTTAATGACAAAGCTAATGTGATTATCTGAGTGAGTGTGAGAACGGGGTATTGAGGGCTTAGAGGAGGGAAATCTGTTGGCAGAGATGAATGTATAAGCCTAATCCTATCTGAAAAGTAAGGAGAAGATGCTTTGGAGCAATTGCAGTGTTTTTTTTTCACGGTATAAATCTTTGGTTGGACATGTCTGTGGCCCTCCTCATCCATCGACCACCAACTCCTCCCCAGCCCACAGACAAAAGCCTTAGTAACAGACTCCACACTAGTGCAGCTCCCCTCCAACGTCCAAACAAGAAAGCCCAGTTTCCCTGCCCCACAAAGAGTGCAGAACAACAGCCACGGCCAACTCCGCTGCTGCAACCATAACAACACGCAGCGAAATCAAACAAAAGCTGAAACTCAAATATTTATCATCCACGCTATTAATTCTGAGAAATCAACCATGGTCAGACAAAACAGTAGTAATGAGAGCAAAACCTTTAAATTTTCACTCATTTAGATCATTGGCTTTAAGTAAATGGACGTTTGTTTTGTTTTTTTTCCTCTTGTGCCAAGATTAGAGCAATAAATTCAAGTTCATTCCAGGGAATTTCATATGCAAATCAGGCGCCACCACTTTTTATGTGGAAAAACACTTTATGGGCCACAAGAAAGCAATCTTCAGTCTTGTAAACAACTTGGATATACAGTGGCTTTAGAAAGTATTCAGACCCCTTCACTTTTTACACACTTTATTGTGTTGTACATTTAATTTTTAATGGATTGAAATGCTATTTCTGCTAATCTACACTCAATAACCCATTATTTAAAATGAAAACATGTTTTTCAGAAATTATTTCAAATTTATTAAAAAATCTCTTATCTACAAAAGTATTCAGACCCTTTGCTGTGGATCCAAATTGTGGTCTGATGCATCCTCTTTGTTTGAATTCTCCTTGAAATGTGTCCAGAACTTGACTGGAGTCCACCTGTGGCAAAATGAATTGATGGGACGCAGTTTAGAAAGACCGGCCAAACTGAGTAACTGGGCAAGGGAACTGACCAAGAACCACACAACAGTGACTTACTAACAGAACTTCAGAGGTCTTCTGCAGAGATGGAGAACCTGCTGGAAGCACAACCATCTCAGCAGCGCTTCATCACCCTCACAGCAGCCTTCATGGTACCTTGGAGTTTAGCAAACAGCATTTAAATTACTCTGAAAGCATGAGGAAAAAGATTCTCTGGTCTGATGAGAAAAAACGGAACCATTTGGGCAGAACTCCAAACACTATGTCTGGCGAATGCCAGGCACCACTCATCACTAATACTATGTCTCATACCATCGATATGATGCAACATGTTGGTGGCAGCATCGCGCTATGGGGTGGAGCTTGTCAGTGACGAGGACAGGGAGACCAGTCAGAATCAAGGGAAGGATGAATGACGTCAAATACAGTTAGGCCCTTGAAGAAAACCTGCTCCAGAGTGCACGCGACCTGAGACTCGGGGCAACGGTTCAGCTTTCAGCACGACAAAGACCCAAAGCATACAGCCAAGAAAATGCTGGAATGGCTTCGGGACAAGTCTGAGACCGTCCTTGAGTGGCCCGGCCAAAGCCCAGACTTAAACCCCATAGAACATCTGAGGAGGGACCTGAAGATGGCAGTTCACAGACACTTCCCATCCAATCTGATGAAGCTTGAGAGGATCTGGCAGGAATAATGAGATGAACTGCCCAAATCCAGGCATGCAAAGTTTTGAAGCAGTAATTGCTGCCAGAGGGGCTTCTACAAAGTACTGAATTAAATGAGATATTTCAGTTTTTGATTTTCAATACATTTGCGAAAATGTCTAAAAGCATGTTTTTACTTTGATATTATGGGTTATTGAGTGTAAATTGATGTTGCAAAAACTGATGTGCAGTTTTATCCATTTACAACTGCAAAAAGTGAAGGGGTTTGAATCATTTCTGATGCTGTAAGCAAATTAAATATCTTTTTTTTTCTCTTTAATATGTGAAGCATTCTCACCTTGTCTAAACTGTCATGTAATCACAAACTTGTGATTAATTCTGTGGTGTTTTGTTTGTTAACGTGCTGTGTTTTTAAGGTGGTGTGCAAGTATCTTGGATTCGATTCCACTGTGTCCGACTACCAGCTGCTGCACGGTGTCTCTCAAGCCGCAAAGGTCTACTACAACTACACCGGAGACTCCTCCTGTCTAAACACATCTCAGACGGCAACCGGCAGCCTCGGTTATCTCGGCTGGACTTACCAGGTGTGGTAGCACAGAACGCAGTGATCAGTCATGTCACGCTGAATAAATTGGCGCACAGAGGTGTCAGTGGGAAGCTTTTCCCCTATTTGAATGAATATGTGTTCAATCCCTCATCCCCAGGCCTGCACAGAGATGGTGATGCCCATGTGCACAGATGGCGTCCAGGACATGTTTGAACCAGGGGAGTGGAACTTCCAGGCCTTCTCCGATGAGTGTAATGCAATACTTGGTGTCCGGCCACGAGCCGACTGGGCAGGCATAGTCTACGGGGGGAAGGACATCGCCTCTCACAGCAACATCATCTTCAGGTAAACAGACCTCGGCAGAAGGTTCTCTGTGTTTTCTGGGTTTGTCTAGTGCAGCGAGCTCAATCAAAGTGCAGATTCCGGCTGGCTTTTATTTCAGGCAAATTAAGAGCAGCCATCTGTGTAGCCACAGGAGGTAGACAGACGTCTGTAAAATGTAAATGAAAAAGCTGACTGACTCTGGTGTAGCTTAATCACGAACACTAAGGTCGGTCATATGAGGGTAAATGCCAGTTAGCAGCTCTTGTCATGCGATAAAAAAGTCTGGTAATAAGCAATTTGATGTGAGTTTTCAAAGCAACGTTTCATAATGCTTTGAAAACTCGAATAAAATGTTTCAAAAATCAAAACACGTGCTGTGAATACTGACATGTTGGCCCTAGAGTGTACAAAAGACTATGCCTTAGCTAGTTTATTGACACACCATGCTCTATATGAACACCCTATTATGTTGTACACAAGTGTCTGAGTGAATTTTCTGCCGTTGTGTCTCAGTAACGGAGGACTCGACCCGTGGTCGGCTGGCGGAGTGACTCGCAACATCACAGATTCTCTGGTTTCCATCATGATTCCTGACGGAGCCCATCACTTGGACCTCCGCTACAGCAACGACCACGACCCTCCCTCAGTCCGTGCAGCCCGAGCGTTAGAGGTGAAGTATTTTCAGGAGTGGATCAGACAAGCTAAAAAGGCCCCTCGGACTGCATCGACCCCTTAGTCTCTAGAAGCAGCAGAACGTTACCAGGCTAGGATATCCATGATATGTATGGTGTAGCTTTAATATGCATGACAGGGTGCTCTTTCCATCATTCCACCAAAGTTTGTCCTCTTTTAATCAGTGTTGGGGACGTTTTTTTTTTTTTAACATTAAATTAATAAATTTTAACTTTTTTTTTTTTTTTTACTTTAGCTTTAATTTTCAATATCACTCTTGATTTTAGTAAGTGTGTTTTTTTTATTTTCATTTTAATCACAATCTCATCATAATCTCAGTGCTGGAGTATCAAACTACAATTTTCACACTCCATTTCTTTTATGCCAAACTATACATTTCCAAGGGCTGGGAGACAGAAAGGTACTGTGTCTGTTTGTGAAGTAAAAAAAAAAAACAAAAACGATTGATCACAATGTAAGTCTGTAAATATCTTTGTTTATTCATATCATTACATTATCATCATCATCAAAAGACTCGGATCATCATCATTTTGTCTTTCCTCACATGGGAAGTTTTGCCAAAAACCCATTAAGGCCTCTCTGCCTCCAAGCTGGTGTTTTCTTCCTTTCAGTCAGTGTTACAATGAGGGCTACACTCCCTGTTATTCTCATCTCTGTTTTTGTCATTTAATGTCATTGTTAGTCTTAAGTTCTGTTGTCACTCTGCTGAATAGCCATTGTTGTTATTCAGGTGTATTTGTTCTTTCAAAATAAGTTTATATGGTAATATTCCTCTTAACACTTAAAGAAGTCTCAGGAGTAAAATTGGCACCAAATACTACTTTTTTTTTTTTTTTTTTTTAGAGCTTTCCACAGAGTGATATTAAACTTGATTTGTTGTTGTTCACAGAAGAACAGTGTCCTCCCTGCTTTTTTAAGTTTTCTATTTGCATCTTATACTCAAATTATTTACAGGCTGTCATTCTCAGGAACACATCCACCACTGAAACTGTAAGCTAAAGACGATATTGATATCCTTCAAATAGTCTTTTACTCATCTGCGGATGCGATGTTGTTCTGTCGAGCTGACTCTTCATCTTGTTTTAGGAACACTGAGGCTTTTAAGTTGCCTCCACCTAGCAGGAACAATTGCGTGTGCTTGAGATTTAATAAAAACCCAATCGGAGGAGGCCAATAAAGTGAGTGGTGGGAGGTTATTGCAGCTACGCCTGCTGACCTCACCCCTGTGGACCAACCTGTGGGATTCCCCCTGGCACACATTCATTCACTGGCTGCCATTAAAGCTCTAAATTGCAGCACCAAGGCAGCCCATAGACCCTGGTTTGTTCCCCCCTGCTAGTAATATTATTAATACAACTCCTGGGGTGCCAGATAAGTTGAGAAGGGGTTGATGGAAGGTTAAGAGCAAAGCGGTGAGGGGATGCGGGAATCGGCAGGGACCAAGAGGCCTTTTGTAGTTCACCATGAAGTCACAGTTTTTTTCTTTATCTTATTTCAAATGTCAAGATAAAAGGCTCAAATGTCATGAAAATACTACGACTAAAACACTGTGACTGGCAATGAAAAAACATCTTCTTTCTTTGCAATTTTCTTTTAACAGTTCCAGCCTATTCACCCCCCCCTCTCCCCCCCTTCCTCTTTTAAAGCAAAAGTTCCTGACATGACATGACTTAGTGAAGCAGATGGGGAACATGTCCTGCACTGGTATGTGGTTTTGATTTTCTACCGGGAGGCTCAAAGCCTGACTTCTCAACATTTTGTCACAGGCTTGACTGAATTTCAGAAACCCTTGTCGAAAGAAACGTTGCTAAACATGGGGGAGGATGAGGTCTCTGCCACTAAATGCCCTCCTTAAACTTTTCTCAGGACTTTGAGAGGTCATTAATTTCGTCAGCCTTTTCTAAGTCTCTGACACTGGCCATCAATCAAAGGTATTATTAGTATTCGCTCGACCCCAAACTCTGCGTATGTCCCTGCTCAGACAGGGACCACACACTAGTAGGAAGAGATTAAGCCTGTGTGTGTCACATCACGTTGCACTGAGCGCCCTGCACCCTTGGGGTTGGGTGCTGCTGAATACGTAAATGCTCTGGGACAGAGGGCGTGGTGGTAATGTTTAACAATATCTCAACAATATGGATCTGTGTACTTAACAACTTGCTGGTTGTGGGAAAAGCCACAGCTCATTACAAATGATTTTCTCTTAATTAAACTTCCCCCAAGGTCCAAATAAAATGAGTTTTTAAAAAACAATCCATAGTTATAATAAACACTGGTCTATTATAGGAATTTAATAAATAACTTAACAATCAACACTTAAAGTCTTGAGAGTAGAAACAAGTCAGAACCTCCTGGGTTGTGCTCTCAGTTTGTGTATTTTTTTTTCCGAGCTACTCCGCCGCAGCCCCTCCCCTCTCGCCTCCTCTCGCCTTCTCAGCCTTAATGCAACAATAGAAACTTGTTTCCGGGATCTGTGCGTCAGGCTCTGTGATGTGAATGACCCACCAGCACAAAAGCCAAAGCCCCTTGACTAGGAAAAAAAAAAAAAAAGAAGGGGGGGTGGGGGTTGGTGGTGGTGGTGGTGGTGTGGGGGGGGGGGGGGGTATGGCTGCCACGACTGTGATGATGTCACTTTGCCAAAATTGTGCCGCTTGCAAAGAGAAGGAGTCAGAATCAGTTTGGGCAGGCGTTAAAAGCTCCTCCACTGAATCCACGGGATGTTGTGATATTGCTGCTGCTGACCTCCATTTCCCTCCACTTTGCTGTAATTAACCAGAAGTTTGAACTGATAAAAAAACTGTGCCCGCTGAAATGAATACAGGTGAATCATGGATTCTTATTTTTTCATTGCCAGCTGTATAAATAACAAGATAATCTTTGTTTTGTAACCATCTGCTGCTCTTAGATTTGAGTATGGCTGGATTTCTTTTCAGTCATAGACTTGTGTTGGGCCACAGATAATTAGATCAGTGCTATCAGTTTCACTGTCCCTTTTCTGCCCAGGGATTAACATAAGAAAGATTTTTTTTTTTTTTTAATGGCCTCACTCCCTTGCTCCCTGTTTTTTTTTTTTCATCCCTCCAACTCTTAAATGAGTCACTGCCTCACCTCAACTTGCACTTTCATAAGAGGAGTGATCTCCTTTCAATTACTCCACTGCAGTATCTCTGAAAAAAAAAAACAAACATAAAACACGAATAATAACCTGAGGTTTAACGTGGGCAGAGGATGGGACAGATAGAAACTAGTGTAACAGTTGGTTACACATTTATGTTGTATAGTTAACCTGTGTCTAACAGCCCACTCGCTCAAAATTCACTTGAAATGCAATTGAAATTCCTCTTAAATTGGGATAAGTGTTGGCAACATAACAATCTGGCTCTTGTACACATCCCTTATTGTATTCAGTGCTGGCCAAGAAACTTCCTGTAAATACGTTATTGTTTACAACAGAAGTTTCATACCCAGGATTTCTTAAGGTCAACATTTCTTCTGGCACACTGAGCCTGAACTGCACTTTATTCCCCTTTAATTTAACAGCTCCGGCAGCTTTTCTAGTTAAATCGACTGTTCATTATTGAGACCCATTTTACGAAGGGGCTGTGAGGTGCAATTTAATGAATCTCTGGCACAAAGCTCCCTTTCACTGCCGGGCAAAGAATAGAGGCTATTTAGACCCTGTAGGGCTTTATGTCAAAGGCAGCCCATAATAGTTGTCAGGCCAGGGCAGAAATTCCCACTGGCCTGGGAATGCACTAGAAATCAACTTTTGCCATGAGCAGATTAAGACACAAGCAAGCAGTTGGGAAGATTCTCCCAGATAGTGGCATCTGTTTGGGCACAAAGATTTTCCCACAGAAAGGAAGCCGTTCTTATCATTGTTTAGCCTTGTTTTTTTTTTTATAGCTGGGTTTGTTTCAGTGTCTAATTGAACAATAATTAGAACATAAGATAACTTCTGTTTGGTAATCCACACAAGAAACACATATGTAGACATGATGATTGAATAGAATAGTGGTTTAAATTGTTTTGAAAAGCAAGTAGGAATCCCACGGATAATAGAGATTTATGTTGGATACTTAACTCTGACGTCTGCTGTAATTTCTATTGTTTAAATGTGTTTGTTTTGTTTTTTTTAATATCATGCATTTGTATAACAGCAGAAATACTCTATCCAAGATTTTAACGGCGTCTCTGCTCACCGTTACAGTAATATCCTCTGGTTTCATGAGAGCGTTCTTGGTTCAGAGCACACACAAACAGTTAAACTAGAGGGGGAGAGTTCTGACAGAAGTTATTGTCTTCAGCTCAGCAGGGAATTTCAGACAAATCCCTCTTAGATGCAGGTGGTCGGGCACAAGCAAAGAGTTAAGTCCTGCGGTCCCTTTGCCCCTCCTCTTTGATGTTCTGACATCATTAGTCCAGCCCCCTGTAAGATCTCCTTGCTCTCCTCAGAGCCCGTCACTTCTACTCTGGAATGTTTACAGGAACTTCATGAGCAGCATCAGGACCAAGCGTTTGTCAGAGGGAAAAAGACATGCTCTGAAGAAACTTTTGGTTCACGGATCACAGCAGATGCCACAGGTGTAGCCGCTGGGCTCAACAGAGTAATGGCTGTTCAGACTGCAATCATGAACCCTCAGTTCATGAATTTCTGCTTCCCTGGTTCTGTGATGGAGTATGATGTGGAGAAAAGTCTGGATGGGAGTCTCCTGGGTGAGGCAGAAAATGACGAGGACTACAAAGAGACCACTCGGGACTTGCTGAGCTTCATAGACTCAGCCTCAAGCAATATCAAGCTGGCTCTGGACAAGCCAGTGAAATCCAAGAGGAAAGTCAACCACCGGAAGTATCTACAGAAGCAGATCAAAAGGTGCACTGGCATTATAACACCAGGAAATGTAGCAGAGGCCCCAGTTAAAAGACAAGGGTCCCCCCTGGCTCAGCCCAGCCCTTTGCAGAGCAAAACTCTACCTAAGCGTGATGGGGTCCAGGCCAACTTACAGAGCAAGAGCTTGGCAGCCCTCTTCAGCCCTGTGAAGGATATAAGGGGTGAAAAAGCCAAGAAGCCACCCCTGAGGCATCGCAATTTGCCCCCCTCTTTCTTTACTGAGCCTGCCAACTGCTCCAAAGTCAGCTCCACATCTGGGATGACGCTGAAGGACTTGGAACGAGGAAATCCTGAAGCTGCAGAGTTCTTCGAGCTCTTGGGGCCTGATTACAGCAACATGGTCAGTGACCAGGACCTTTATCACAGCATGCCTCTCCGGGTGCAGCCAGAGATGGGGGGCCCAGATCCCGCTTCCTACGATGCTCACCATTTAGTTGGTGGTCTCCTCTACTCGGAGCCCTGGACTAGCTGCTCTGGACCCTCTAAGAAACAAGGGGAGAGCCTGCGAACGGGCCCAGCCCAGCCTCCTGTCTACTGTCACTCTGAGGCTGCTACTGGGCCCATAGAGGACAACGCACTGTGCACTTTGGCCTTCCCGAACTTCTTCACAGACTGCTCCATACCTCAGGTCACTTATGATTTAAGTGGTGGTTATAACAGAGCTAATTATTCATCTCTATGAGAGAATGACAATTCTTTCGTTAAGAAGTGTCAGTAAAAAGCAGATAAAACTGCCGTGACAAATTTAACAGTAGTACAAGAGAGTTTGATATGACTGTATCTTATTTGTTTATCTGTTGTGGAAATGATATTGCAACATTTCTATCATCCTTGCTCAATAGAAATGTGTGTCATGGGGCTTTCCCCCCCTCAAACAACAGTTTTTCTTTCATAAAAAAATGTCAAAAGCTCTTTGAAATTACTTGATGCCATGTACATTTCCGATATGCCAGTTTCATTCTCTGCACAGTTCTGTTTAATGTTTCACAAGTTTATATGATTTTCTTTATCTCAGGCAATTTCAAATGGCATTCTGAATGAAAACACATCTGATGTTGGGTATGTTTCAACAGAGTACGTGACTCTGTTCATCAGAATGAAGCTTATTCATTTGGAAATTTAATGAGACATTTCATTACATTTTCATATCTTACAAAAAAAAGGAAGCACACAAGCTGCAGAGATAGTTGTTGGTTTAGTCCACTAAGCATCAGTTATTGCTCGGGAACGGTATTATAGAACTGTTTGTCACATTTGACAAAACATGCTGCAACAATATCTCAGTGAGGCACTTTCTTCAGTCCTATTAGTAATGATTCTGTGCAGAGACATAGAGGGGGAGACCCATTTTGCTGAAATGATGATTACAACAATGTGCGATGCCATATTTGTTTTACAGCATTTACAGCTCAGAAATGATTTTCAGTCGGCAGATTTTACCACTTGTATCCATTTTTCTGGGAAAAGCCTTTAATGTATCTAGCTATTGCGAGAAGACAAAATAAAGCTGGTCTTTATTACTGTGACCACAGAGTCTGTTTTTGTGTTCATCGTGGATGTTGAGGTGTGATGATCAGAATACAAACAGGTACATAGCAAAAGCACTGCATGGAGGAAGGTGTGTGCGTGTGTGTGTGTGTGTGTGTCTCTAAAGTACTTTTATACAGTCTGAAGTAATTTGCATGAAATCACAGAAGAATCTGGCAGGATGGGAATAAATAAAAATTGGGACTCCTGTATATTAGAACACAATCCAATGCAAGTGTCCTGCAATAAACTGTGACAGAGTCAGTAGACAAACAATAAAATAGTGCTGTCAGCAAAAACACAACAGTTTCAGTAGTTTTACTGCAGGGCTGACATATTGCATTGCATCACATTACACAGGTGTTTTGTTCTAATCACAGACAGTATTTAAATGATGTAATATGTAAGATTCAAATGTTCTCACATAGGTTGGTAGAAAAGACTATATACTCTAAATACAATGCTGAAAAACTTGGATTTCCAGTCTCATTTGTTGAGCTGTTGAACAAAAGCAAAAAAAAACCCTTAACGATATTGAAATAACTATTCATCACACAGGAAAAATGAAAACACCAGGAGGGAGACATTTTCTGAGCAAAAGAAAAAAACCCTTTAAGCATGCTGAACAAAGATTTCAATGCTGCATGATTCATTTTGCATTTTTTCTGGGACCAAGAGCAGATTGATACACTCAAAAGGTTTCAAAAAATGAAAAGTTCATGTAAATGTTAAACCTTTTAACATCATTTAACTTAATTGAGTTATTAAGTTTTCAATAAACTCCACTTTTTTTCCACTGAGGAGCAAAGATGGAGCAATTGGATGGATGGATCAATTTCAAATACTTTTACTACCACACCATTGCACTTGGCCATTTGGTGGCTAAATGTAAATGTATGGGCATCGTGCCAATTGTTGAGGATTAATTTACTTCCTGCGGTGTTTAAGTTAAGCTGACTGTGCATTTAAACTTGAAACCTCCCACATACAGGCCCAACCTTCTCACAGGAGATCACTCCCTGGAGACTTGGATTCATGGCCCTACTAACAGTATACATTATCATCTCCCTCTGCTGGTTGTTGGGTTCATTCATTTACCTTCTAACATGGAGGCAAACCTCATCATCCTGGCTCAAGTATCATTCTAAAGTCTGCATGGTGAGCTGATTGTACGAGACTGTGGCCTAAATGTTTGTGACGAGGGTCAGTCAAACTAAATCTGTGTTTTAGGGCCTTCAAACCAGAGTACATTTTATGTAAAAGTGCTGAGAACATACTGGATGTTGTCACCTAAGAGGTATTCTAACAAGAACATTGTTTTCAGTGACACAATGTGAGGTTTTTCCTGTTTCAGTGTTGGATAGACACTCAGGAAGAGGAATTTCAAATCAAGAGAAGCCCTCAAACTGACTTCGCTATGTAAATTTTAAATTGCGTATACTTTTGAAACTTTAAGAAATACGACTATTTTAGCCTTTTAGTTGACTGATGCATGACGTGTCTCGGCACTGCACTGCGTCACATTAGAATAGTAAATGTAAACGCACTCACACTGAGCTCTGTCCAGCAGGATGCAGTTGTTGTATACAGTTGTACTTGGCAGCTCAGATGCAGTTTACTGGGGGCGACGTGCCTTAGCTTGTTGTTGAAGACGACAGGAGCAGTTTTCATTTTGTTTGTGCAATTTATTGACCCAGAGCTTACACTCCCCACCCTCGGTTTTCAATCAAGAAAAAAAATACAAAATGGCAGAGGATCACAAATGCATTATGCCTGTCAGCGCAGTATCCGCAGGCCCACAAGCAGTCGCTCAACAAACACACTAGATGGCAGTAATGTTCCATTGAAAACCCAATGTCCACCACTCCCATCCAGACAGAAGGGCACTTGTATCTGATGTATGAGATTATGTGTGCAATTGTAGCCTTGTGTGGTAAGAACTGAGTGGCTCTTTAGTTTTCCGTTGGTAAAATGAATCGGACCTGAGGTAAGTAAGTTGGAAGGGATGAATGGTTGTAGACTATGATTTTCAATCTATCAGTCTTTGTCAGAATTGGTTTAAATGGATTCCCACTAACGACTGTTAGGATGCTTACTCCTGTAAGCGCATTACATGATGGTGTTTATATTCATTGTACTATGTGCTTATGTGCTCCACTTTGAAGCTAGTGTTGTCTGCCAGGATTTTTTTCCCCTTTCCTCCCACATGCTTGTCTTTGTTTGCAGGTTGGTCAACACTACCCTATGTCATTCGCAGGAGAAAACAATATCTGGCAACCTACAATACAGCAAACTACAGACACAGAGAGCATATGGATTTTCTGTCCCTGAGTTGACACCAGCTGATACATTCAGATTAGGGCCTACTGATGGAGCCACAACTGTATCCTGCTTTGATTTATGGCACAAGGGAGTTGCAATGTTTGTCAAAGCGATTAAAAAGATCTGTGTTGGCACAGACCGGAATAACAAGAGCCAGATATCCAGGTAAACTAGACATTCAGGGGTGTAGTGCTATTTGCACATAAGTGGGCTCACATAAAATTTATTGGAAAGATAACAAATACTGCAAACACCTGACCTATTTCAAATAGTAAAACACTGCCATACTCTAAAAAAAAGTTTTTCCCCTGTTCACAGGAAAATCATATTAAAATTACAAGAATAAACAGTTTATTCGAACGTGTCATATGATTTAATGGTTTGGTAAATGAGATTTTAAACAAAAATATAGCAGCAAACAACTATTTTCTATGTAAAAATACATAGTCAAAGTCACACCCCCTCTGTGTGTGTTGTAATTTGAGTTCCTCTGCTCTTTGTTTTGGTAGCTAGTCTGGCAGCGTGTGCATGTTAGTGCCTATGTTAGTGCATGTCAGTCCCTCCTGTTAAACCCTTGGCCCTCCCCATGTTGGCCCCTCCCCAGTGTATAAACACACAGGCACCACCCACAGGTGAGAGTGCAGTACACAACATTCAGGTGAGTGCCACCCTCCAGAATTTCAGTCACTGAAGAAACCAGTTTTTCGGCTAGAAAGGTCTCAGTCAAAGAAAGAGAAGAGACCAGAGCACAGGCCATGGGGACGACCAGCTCAAATCCCAGTCAACCAGGGGCCCATCAGAACCTCCATGATGTTTGTAAAGTCTTTCCTGATCCTATCAGTGTCGTTCATGCGGTCGTGGTCCCAGCATATAAGTCCAAGGCTGAATTTCTTTGACAGTCCGACTTCGGAGCCAATATTGGTCAGGCTTTACCTAGATGGAGAGACCTAATAGCTGCTAAAGGGCCCCATCTTGACTTGGAACTGGCTTCTTCTCCTCCTAATGTAAGTAACTTGATGTTTCTTAAGTTACGTCTGTTTTCATTAGTAAGTAGACATGATAATGTTAGCTTACTTGCCGTTACCAGTGTTATGAATGTGTTTGGCAAGTATTGCTATCACTAGCTGGAAGCATTTGTTTTGGTCTGAGATGCTGGTGGTCTGGTGCGATATCTAGTAGCAGTGACGATTGTTTGCAGAACCTTTAACAAAAAAATTCTGCATAAATGGAATATATAAAATATTTGTAATAATGTCTTTTACGATATTGACAAAAGAAGCATGCAAAATGCTTATAAATGCTTACATGAATGAAATGCTCACAAGAAATTGGATGGTGATTGGAGGATGATTCAGAATAGTTAAATATTAGTGCTTATGAGTTATTTGAAATTAGAAAATCATTGAACACTTTGTAAGATTGAGTAAATCGTTCACAAATACTGCCGTGGTGCCTCAGCTCAGAAGCTACCGGTAACTTAAGGTAAAATGTTTTCTTTCATGTTACTCAATGCATGAGTTGCTGTCAATATGACAATTTTGACCATTCCGTTTGTTTTTATTGGCTCTCTTGCATGAGTGATGATGATTTAGTGCCAACTGAAATTATTCTATTTCCTTGCAGCACTGTATGTATGGAGTCAATGTACAGCAGATTTTCTCTGGTATTGTATGTGATGTCCTGTAATGCAAAGATGTGTATACGCAGATGATATAAGGTGTTCTATATGCACAAACTGAATGCAAACACAGGACCATGGTAAAAAAAAAAATACAACCAGTACTGAGATGAACTCCAGTAAAGTTATATATTGTACAGCTGTTTCCTTCATTGTGCTACGTTGGGAATTACTGGCCCTCTCCCTGACCTTTCACAGCTAGCCCTCATATCTTGTTAACACCATCGGGATGGAGGCACAGTGCCAGATGATATTCACAAACCTTTATAGCCTCTTTCACTGACATGAAACTTTTGTCTCTGAGCTCAAGTCAAACAATAATTTTTACATGTTTGTTTTATGGAGGGCAAATATTGTGAAAGAAAGAATTCGCATATATTCTATTGAAGCATGACATTACCATTATCTAACTAATTACTTTGTAGGAAAAATTAAACAGACTCATGCTTGGTTTAATAAAATTAGCTGTGAATTGCTCATAGTATCAGCTGATTAATGTTTATCTTCCTGTAAAAATTACATTAGTGTTTGAAAGTTGACTTTTATTTTTGCAAATTTGCCAACATACACTCTAAAACAACATATCTTTCAGAAGCCAGTATGTCCAAATAGTGTCCATCAGTGTATTTCTATGTCCTTCCTAAGATTTCATACACAAGTCAGACCTCAGATGGGTCTTTTGTCAACACCAAACTCTACTTTGAATCCTTGACTTCAGAAATGTTGTTTCATCATAAAAGGTGTTGTGCTTCCAACCTTTCAAGGACCACCTACTGCAAGTTCTTTAAGAACTTTAAACAAGGTCAGTGCAGAGAGACAAACTTAGAGAGTATGACTTACTGCACCCTGTATACCTCACAAGGCCTCGACCAGTGAGAGCAGTTAGTATCAGTAAGCATTAGTTTTAAGTCAATAATGTATCCATGTCTGATCCTTTTCTTGCCTATGGAAATAATATTA